CTGCATTCTGGGTTGGGGCCTAGAATGGGAGAAGTCTGAGAAAATATGTTGGGTGTTGCAAAGATAGAAGAAGAAATAGGAAAATGAGAATGTAAAGTGAGAAAGAAGGATGGGGTCAGAAAATTAAAGAAAAGAGAGAGGAATGGACGAAACTGCAAAAGGTTCAGACACCTATTCTGGGAAAGTCTAAGCAGACATCACTAGCTTTTTAAATGGCTTCTCACCTTATGTCATTTCCATGACAAAAAGACCAGTAGAAGGTTAATGTCATTATAAAGTGAGTAATATATTCCATGTCTAGACAGAAGGCCTGGTCCTAGGGCACTTGTGCTGATTAACTGATACCTATAATTGCAATGGAGTGTCACTATCCTTCAATTAGTTTCAATAAAATAGGTAAAGGAAAACTGCAGGCAATTGAACTGATTAATAATTTAATCATATCTGATCCTGGGCAATCCTGGCTGCATAATTTTTCAGTTCCCTTTTCTATTGCTATGTAAATTAAACAAGTAAATGACAAGGTTATTTTGAAGATATATCATTAAAATTAAAAAAAAGTTTGGAACTAGGAATAAGTAAAGTTTTAATCATTTAGGGACTTAGCTTAGTGAACATTCATTCCTCCCCCAGACAACCCTCCCTTTAGCTTCAGTGGCAGTTTTGGCAGATCAAAGAGTTGTGCATAAGGCCTGTAGGAAGAGCAACTGATGAGCAGTAAACAATGAAGAAATGTACTCAAACAGTACACCCACTCTCACACCAGCAAAGATATAATCCATTTCCAAATCAAACTGATTCTATAGGCTGAGAATGAAGAAATAAATGTTCATCCTGTTGTTAAATAATTAGAAAGAACAAAGAAACTTTGCAGATGAGACCCACTTGAGTAGACAGGTTAAGCAGATGATGATTTTTAAGAAGCCCGCATAAGTCTTCACTACACAATTGAAAATTGGTGATGGAAACTGATAGAGATTTAACCTTCATTACTGGGTGCTAAGCTAGACCTGTGTGTGAACCTGCTAAGCTACATTTGACACTGGGTCAGCTGCATTTGATATTGGCAATGGAAAAGCGTTTCCACTGCTGACTTAAAAGGCAAAAGGCATTTTAGAATGTGTGGAAGTGGAAATTGCTGGTGATGAAAAACAGCCTTTACATTTTGGAATTATTCACTCACTACAGAACATCACAAGTCCCTCCCCCAGCATTAAATAAATAACAAATTCACCTTAATGACACAGACAGCAGTAGTCTAGTGAGCCGCAGATTTCTTTATGCATAGCATAGAGGGCAAAGTAAATAGATTTCATTGCTTTAGTGCCTAGAATAGAGCAATAGGGGAAGCCTACAGAAAACTCTTCCTATGCATTTTTTACCAGAATCACGGGAGGCATCTTACAGCCTGACAAAAGGTAGTAGCATCGGTGAGGCAAAAATCACACCTTGACTTTCTGACAATACCTCAAACTCTGCATAAAGATGAGATGGGGGCTTCTAGTGGAAGTGCAAGGTCAAGCTTCAATATAACCTTGTGATAACCCACGCATCCAAGTCTGAGAACAATCCCCTGCACTCCTTACACCTACTGTTCTCTTCCGAGCCCTTCACTGTCCTTCACCCATGGCCCAAAATACCGAGGGCTCATCTAGACTACATTCCTCTGTCGAAAGAGGAATGTAAATGAGCCCAATCGAAAGAACAAATAAAGCAGAGATTTAAATAGCCCGTGCTTCATTTGCATTTGTGTCCAATTGCTGTTTCAAAAAAAGGTTTTTCAAAGGTGAAACTGCAGTCTAGATGGGGTTCTTTTGAAAAAAAAACCCCTTTTTCGAAAGAACCCGCACTCCTGAAAAAATGAGGAGTATGGGTTCTTTCGAAAAAGGTTTTTTTTTTCAAAAGAACCCCGTCTAGACTGCAGTTTCACTTTCGAAAACCATTTTTTCGAAACAGCGATCGGACGCGAATATGTAAATAAAGTGCAGGATATTTAAATCTCCGCTTCCTTTGCACTTTCAATCAGGCTCATTTACATTCCTCTTTCGACAGAGGAATGTAGTCTAGACGAGCCCTGAGTGCTCCACTTCAAAACTTCTCAGTTGTGCCACAACAGCACTCAGTTTCGCACAACTAATTAAATTCCATAATTTAGGGATGTAATTAAACTTTTATATTGTACAGAGATTTTTTATGTTTTTGCTGTCTGTTTTTCTCATGATCTTATGTCTATTTAACATGCTGCAGACTATGGTTTATAAGATGTCTTGTGCAAATGGGAAGCATAGCAACAGCTTTAAAAAACATTCTGTTTAGTCTTTGTGTATATAAGAGAGGACAGTGTAAAGGGGAAGATGAATGGTTCCTAATGCAAATTCGTAGTGCCGAATAATAAATCTCTAGGTCAGCTTGTCATGGTGCTTTTTGAGGAAGAAGAAAAAATGAAGCAAGCTGATGGATAAGAGGAAAGATAGTGGTCTTAGAAATAACAAATGGGCTGAGTTGAAATCCAAAAAACATATCCAGTTTTCTTCTCAAAAAGGATTGTGGATGGTTTCCACAAGTTTTAAAAATTATAGAGAAAAACAAACTACCCAAGGCAAATGTATATTAATATTATTTCTTTATGTAGTAGCTTCAGAAACATTTAAGCTATGTAAGACTAAATTGGTATGGTTATATATTAAGTCTTACAATTATACATGAATAAATAGTTTCCAAGAATTGATGTTTACTAATGAAAGGCAACGGAGAAATGATGAAATACAATTCAGCAACTGCTTTAAAAGCACATGAGATTTTTTATTCATCTTAAACTCAAAAATGGGTAATTCACTAAGGGTATGTCTACACTTGCCCCCTAGTTTGAACTAGGGAGGCAAATGAAGCATACCGAAGTTGCTAATGAAGCATGGGATTTAAATATCCCATGATTTATTAGCATATTTGTGGCTGGTCGCCATTTTAAAAAGCCAGTAGCCCGAATTAACTCGCCGCGTGTAGACGCGGTAGTCTGATCCAAAACCCTTCCCTCGAATTAACTGTTACTCCTCGTGCAATGAGGAGTAACAGTTAATTCGAGGGAAGGGTTTTGGATCAGACTACCGCATCTATATGCGGCAAATTAATTTGGGCTACCGGCTTTTTAAAATGGCGACCGGCCACAAATATACTAATTAAGCATGGGATATTTAAATCCCGTGCTTCATTAGCAACTTCGGTATGCTTCATTTGCTGCCCTAGTTCGAACTAGGGGGCAAGTGTAGACATACCCTAAATGAGGTTTAGAAAAGAATTTTATTTCACAATATTACTAACGATGCAAACAGAATTGAAGAAACTTATCCATTACTGACACACATGATTGAAATACTGAAGAAGGTATACTATTTTATGACGCTAGCCTTTCACCTATAATCACGTCTTTTGTAATGCTGGCTTACAGGCATCAGAGAGAACACATTTAAGGATGTTATTTTAGTCTCCTTATACACTTAAAAAATGTACACACAGTCCAATGCAGTGGCATTACCATGCATTAAACAGTTATTCCGAGGTGAGTGTGAATTAAATTTAAGGTTAGAGAATCAAATACTTTCATCTAATTGCTGCCCCCTTGAAGAACCCAGGTAAATAGTGAAACTGGTGAAAAAGTGCCAAGGATTTTCTACAGAAAGCTTTGAATTGTCAATAATTGTAAAACCAAAATATTTTGGCCAATCTCAGCTTGGAAATGTTGCCATGGTACCTAATAGGAGTTGTTGTACTGAAGCCTCAAATTACCATTTTCGTGTATAGGACAGATGATTCCCTTGGCAGACCACATTTACCAGGTATGCATCTGGTCTATAGTGGAAAATGGGAATTTGAGGCTTTGAGGCCAATAGAGGATGGTACATTGCAAGGAATGTAGTCTAGCCAGGGAGCATGGCCAATAAGGGGGAATGGGGACATGGGACAACAGAAGCACATCTCCCAGTAGGGAAGGTAGCAGCATTTCTGAACTGAAATAAATCAGTTTGGGGTCATTCAGTTTGTTGACCAAAACACTGAAATTGTCTGCAGAAAGCAGGCTCTTTTATTAAAAAAATAATTTAACTGAAAACCTAATTTCCAGTTGTTATGATAGAAAATATTTGACAAGGCCCAGTAAAGAAGCTTTACAGAAATGGAAGGTACCTAATAAGGGTCTATGGGTCAAAGGAGGAAGGAATTCCTTCCTCCACTAGCTTATTCACTAGGGGCACATCTACACTCACTTGCTGGAGATGGATGTTCTGGCACTTGCTTTCGTTGGTTCAATTTAGACCCATAAATCAAATGTTGAGGACAGCTCCTGCCACTAATCCTTGCTCCCATTGGCCTCCCATTGTGTGAACACTGCCAAGCTCGGCTTATGGTAAACCGATTCCAGCTATGTATTCTACGTAGGTGGAGTTGCATACCTTAAGCTGACCTTCCAGGTCTAGTGTAGGTCTAGCCAGGGAGATTACACTCACCAGGGAAGCATCCTCACTCCTAATATCCCTCTCACTGGTACCCTTGGGTCCAGCCACCCAGTGTGAAGACACCAGTAGCAAGCCACTCAACTGCTCGGGTGGTTTCACCTTTCTCTCTCCAGTGCAGAGCCAGCAGACTGCTATACCCACTGCCACCACGAGAGGCCTGGCGTGACAATTTTGCCTACAAATTTACTTAACCATAAAAAGGATGTGGAAGTTCCAGAGATGTCATAATAATAAATGTGAATGGGGAAAAGTACAAAAAGGAGGTTGACTATGTTATTCTAAACAAAAAGACTATAATCTACTATTTATTTGAGGGAGTTTGTAGTTCTGTCTGTGTGTCCATCCATCAGTAAGTCCATTTGTTCAAGAACCCCCCCCTAAATGGCAAGAGCTTGGACCACTAAATTTAGTATGCAGCTTCCTCTTTTCATAACTCTCAGCAAGGTCAGGGTTTGGTTGTACCAAGACAATGGGATATGCATGGAATGCAACTGTTTCACATCAAATGGAAAGGGAGATGTGTGATAGCGGGGTAGTAACGCTCATGAATGACCACATGGGGGCAGCAATTTTCCCAGTCCTGGGGAGCAGCTGCTGGCCAGCAGCCCAGGCCCCTCCACTCCAGGCAGAGCCCAGGAAGCAACCAGGAGCTGCCATCCACCATGCTCCATAGCTTCTCCCCACCTCCATTAATGCTACGTAAATCTTCTAGTACATCATTTATAAATATATAATTCAAGGACTGTGTTAATGTCACTCTGTCTTGTCTCCCCCTCCCAAAAAAGCCCAATTACTACCACCTTTGATATAATCAAAGATACTGTCAAACAGAGTTTTATTTCCTTTTCTAAATCTTTTTCCACCTAAAGTGAAAAGAAACAAAGGTTGCATTAAAATGAAGGTCTTAGTATTTTACATTTCAAATCCTTAACAGTTTTTTTCCATCTTTACCTTTATTAAAAGGATATTTAATAGTGTATTTGCCATATTACTGAAACAGGCTAAGGTCTTGGTACAACAAATTCTGACCTTTGTATAACACTATTTGTTATTGGACAGTGACTATTTGTTATTAGATTTGTTATTACATTAACACCTTTGACCTGTTTCTTCCATCTAAGTTAATACAACAGCCCATCCTCTCTGTCTTGGAGACATCAAGCATATTCTCCTTGCTGCTCTCCTTGCAATCAGCCTTTCCCCAGGAAACACATTCTGGGCTCTGGCAACTCTCACCTGCCAGACTGTTTTCTCCTGCCTTTCAGGAAGCTTGGATTCGTCAGGTGTTGCCCCCACACTCTTACCTGGCCAAACTGAGAGCACCTGCTCTGGTAGAGTAAAGCTGCACCCTGCTTCATTTACAGGGGGCAGGCACCATGCGTCCATTTCCCACATGCAAGATCTCACAGATCCCTTGTGTGTCTCTTGGAAGACAGGAAATAGAGCAAAGCTGGGAATCAGCCTTTGCTCTCCCCAAGTGCATGCAGATTCATGAGCTGAAATTCGCCTAAATGCTCCTGCTGCTTAAACCCGCATTATCTATACCTCCTCAGCTGCAATTTCCTCCTGAGAGGTTTTGGGGCTACTGGCAGAAACTGAACAGTAACATATTTGTGCAGAGGAGGGACTGGGCCTGCTTGTGAACAATGCTGCTGTTGTTTCTAAACATATGAAAATGATCTTTGGAGCACCCACAAGTTCAAGATGCTGGTTACTACCTTATGCCTTAGCAAGGGAGTGGAGAAAACTCCATGGATCAAAACTGGAATGTCTGGTCCTTAATCTGAATTTTTGCTGCACAGTAAATAACCCCTTGTCCTTTTTCACCTGCTTTCTCAACCAATCCCTCCTGAAAAAAAGAAGGGAAATGATACACAATGAGAAAGGATGATGCTGTAATAAATGCAAGTATGACAAAGTTTAACAAGTTTTAAAGCCTTAATTTGATATTGTGCCTTCTCAGTATGGTAATGTTGTTTTAATCTGAAATTTTTACAAGATTAGCAAGGGATCTATTTTCTCTCTCTCAGAAAGGCCTGTGCAAAAGTTAAATAATACAGCAGGCTTGGTTACCTCTGAGGCTCTAAATGAGGATCGATTGCCTTTCATTTATGCTTTTTCTAAAATGGATTTTAGCAAGGTGTCAAATACTACAGCAGTTTCCATTTATTTAGCAATGGTAATTGGTATATTACTGTAAAATGAGTTGAATCAGATATATGAAATAAAACTTATTGAGCTGGTATTTTTTCTGCTTCATGGCTGAGTTCAAAGCTATTAAGTTGGGGAAACAGATAATAAATTAATCCTATGGAAAATATTTTCAATTTTGACTTTAATAACACTTGATTGAATTCTTGTTTGGTTTCCAGCTCATTTGGGACTTGGACGGAATGGACTAGTTAATAACACCAGAAATATTAGTCAGTAAGTGGAAAATAAATGTTTAGTTGTTGGAGATGAAGTGTGTCCTATGTTCACTGTAAAGTTTAGGATGAGCTGCTAAAGTGGGAAAACAGGCGATACTTTACCATAATTTTGTCACTAAAAATGAAATGAATTTTAAGAGCGCTGAAATACAGAATTTAGGCACCAGTTATTGAGTTCTGTGAACTTAATGTATAGAACTGAACACAAGTTAAATGACAATAAAGTGGCATTTATAATAAAGCAGACTACAGCAGAAAACAATAATAGCTTCTTTATTAAACCTTGGACACAGAGAGCTGACTCACATTAGCATTATTATATTGCTTGATCCAACCAAGCATATTCTCTTACTTCATTGAGCTGGTCTCTTCCAAACTGAATTACTTCTGTTGGGAATTATAATCTGTCTTCTGTGCATTGTGACTGAAAGCTTACGGTGGCCGACCCAGGATCTTATAAAACAATACAACAACATCACAACTGGCACTAACCCAAGAAAATTGGCCTTGTACTGTCTCCTCATTGAAGCTCAAGAGACTGGGCCATATTCTCACACTCCCAGTGGCCATATCAGATTTAAGAAACACCAAAGAGCTAGAAATGCCAATCTAATACATTGAAAAGCACTACATTGACTTAATTTTTTAGAGTAAATAAACTAATTATCCTGGGCTTTTTGCTGAAGGGCTTTTTTCCATCTGCTTAGCAATTAAAATTTAATCACCTGTCAATTTAAAGTTGTCATTTCTAAGCAATTAACAATGACAATTTTTCAGCTGCATTTCAAAAGCACCAGAAGCTGCAGGAAGCAGAACTAGAAGGGCAGGTGTGGGTCACATTTAACAGCTAGTAGGCCACCTGAAGGTCTGTTAGAAAACAGTCCTATTCTGGAGCTTCAGGGGGTAGCCGAGTTAGTCTGTTAGGGTATGTCTACACTACAAAGTTAATTTGAAATAACAGTCATTATTTCGAATTAACTTCAATAGCATCTATACATGCAAACCACTATTTTGAATTTAAAATTTAATTCAAAATAGCAGAGCGCTTATTTCGAATTTGGTAAACCTCATTCCACGAGGAGTAATGCCAAATTCGAAATAGCTATTTTGAATTAAGTGCTCTGTAGACACTTAATTCGAAATAGGGGGCCTCCAGCCCTTTCCAGGGAGCCTTGGTGGCCACTCTGGGAACAACCAGGAAAATTCATCTGCTCCTCCCCAGCCCCTAAACCCTTAAAGTGGCAGACTCTGGCCACAGTGCCTGTGCCAGTTGCAAGACTGCCAGGACACAGCCAGCAGACCGCGCACCTGGCACAGGATGAGCCAGCAACCCCCCAGCCCTCCACCTCAGACAGCAGCCACACACAGCAACTACTGACCTGATGCCCTGCTGGAACCAGTTTCAGCTGCCCTTAAATGTGATCCAGAGTCCAATCAGTGTGGACCCGCTATTTCGAAATAGCAAAACGCTATTTTGAATTAGATTTTGTGTCTAGATGTTTTATTTCGAATTAGCTTATTTCGAATTAACTAATTCAAAATAAGTTAATTCGAAATAGCGCTATAGTGTAGACATACCATTAGGGTGTGTCTAGACTGGCAAGATTTTGCACACGCCTCCCAACCAGGGGCTGACTCATAGGCCTGCCCACATTATGAGGCCCTGGACCGCATCCTGGGGGCTCAGACGGTCTGTGCCCCCCTGGTGGTCATTGACCCTGGGGCAGAGGGCCCTGCCCCTGACACAGGGGAAGAAAAGGAAGAGGAGAAGGACAGCAGCCAGGAGCTGCAGGAGCCTACAAGGAGCGTGCCCTGCACCCAGGACCGCCAAGCCATACCGGAGAGCCCGTCAGCAGCCTCATCCAAGGCCAGGGAGGCTTCCACATGTGAGTGCCGTCATGGTCCCCTTATGAAGGCCGGGAAGTGGAGAGGGAGCCCAGGGACCATGCCACAGAGCAGGTGGCAACCTGTGGATCTGCCATGCCAGCCAGAACATGTGACCCCATATGGCTGCCATGCAGGGGCCTTGGCCTGTTCCCCACACACATCTATGCGTGAAGGCACATGACAGGCTCCTGACCCAGGGAGAGACACTGCACACTGCCCTCCCTCCAGACACCCCCTCTACACAGAGGCAGCACACATCTCCCCTCTCCCTCAAACACACCACACTATAGGTAGCACAGGGGCTGGGGTGCAGTCCTGGGCCAGCTCCCACTCCTGGGGATAGCAGGACATGATGGTGCATCTTTTTTGGTTGCAGGGCTGGGTTGGTTGCAGGGCTGAATCTAACGTTTCAGGTTAGGGGGTTGTCTGTAAGTAAGACTGCGTTGTTACAGACATTCTTGTTTACGGACAACACCCTAACCTGAAAAGTATTCTTTCCGATAGCCATGCCACACAACCACTTCATAAGCCTCCAGGAACCCAGTCATGCAACCAAAAATGATGCCAACTATGCCCACATATCTACACTGACGAATTCATCACTGGAGAAAACAACATAAGCCACAAAATCAAATTCGATTTACGCCATCAAATGCCAACAGTGCCCCTCTGCTATATATATTGGTCAAACTGGACATTCTCTGCGGGAAAGAATCAATGGACACAAATTGGATATACTTAAAGGGAATACTCAGAAGCCTGTTGAAGAACATTTCTGCTTGCCCAACCATAATCTGACAGATCTGCAGGTGGCGGACTTGTCACAGGCCAGCTCCTCAAGCCAAATTCACAGGGAAAGCCTGGAACTACATTACATGCACAAATTCAATTCACATGCTAATGGACTCAATTGTGATTTAAATTGGTGAGAACTCTATCACTGAAGGTGCTAACTTTCTGAGTGGTATCCTTCCTGTATTAGCAATCTATCTATTGACTTTGATCTTTATCTGCTTAGATTTAGCACCCATTCTCCAGATACTTAAAGAAAAAACAGGAAGAGGAGTGGGAGACAGAGCATCATTCTCTTTTCCCCCTCCTCTTTTCCTTCTCCTATTTATCTCGAGTTTTCCTATCCCCTACTCATAACTCTGGTCATCTGAAGAAGTAGGCTGTGCCCACGAAAGCTCATGATATCATCTACATGTTTTGTTAGTCTATAAAGTGCTGCCAGACTATTTGTTGTTTTAGTCCTGTTCTGGACTGTTTTCTACCAGATGTCTGTGACTTTACCAGAAGGGAAAGCACCAAACTGGGGGAGCAACAAAAGTGACAGAAAAAAGGTTGCCTAAGGATTGGAGTAAAATCTGGGCTGCCACTGTGGTGCCAGAATTGCTTGAGGTCTGAAATGTACTATATAGAGGTATGTCTACACTACCCCCCTAGTTCGAACTAGGGGGGGTAATGTAGTCATACGGAGTTGCAAATGAAGTCCGGGATTTGAATTTCCCGGACTTCATTTGCATAAAGCCGTCCGGCGCCATTTTTAAATGCCGGCTAGGTCGGACCCCGTGCCGTGCGGCTACACGCGGCATGGACTAGCTAGTTTGGATTAGGCTTCCTAATCTGAACTAGCTAGTCCGTGCCGCGTGTAGCCGCACGGCACGGGGTCCGACCTAACCGGCATTTAAAAATGGCGCCGGCCGGCTTTATGCAAATGAAGCC